TATATTCTGCAATTTAGTGAAGCTTATTCTATGGTGGTAGCGCCGGTTCTAAGCAGGATATAAAAGAATATAAAACTGTTTTTTGATATAAAAATGTTTTCCCAAACAGACTTCCAATAATAACCAGGGATATAACACACTAAATTTCGAAACGACAATGACAATTCAGATTCAGTTAGAGAAATAAATCTTGATAAATAACTTTCGCATTTACATATAATTTATTTGATACAATACTACAGAAGCTCATGGGACACAATATTGTTATTGAGAATAAAGAATTATTGGTCTTAACACCCAGAGTCCGCAAGTATGTGTTAATTAGTGCTTCAATTATTTAAATTCATCCCCCGAGAACCGGTTTTCGATCTGAAAAACTGGATAAGCAGCTTAGAACAAAATAGGATCCTCCATTCTTTTCAGGTTTATTATATCAAAATAAACTATAGTAATTGCCTGTACAGTTAACATGAGATCCGATAAACCTGATAGACAGTATATCAGATAATGCTGTTTACAAATTTTTCATGTTGAGAAATAAGCTTTCAACATTAGGCGTACCTCCTATGAGCATCATTTTCAAAATAATCGCGAAACATCAAACTGAAAATACATGCACATTTAAGTAAAGATACACACCAGGTAGACAGTAAACCAAAAAGCTCATTAATGGTAATTTACTCATTAATGATAATTTACTAACACCGTTTCTGGTTTTTTTTTGCTCTTAGAAATGTGCAAAACTACATAGTGTGTAGACACAAGAATGCCTGACATCGATATAATTTTGCAAAAAAAAACCTTAAAATTCAACCAAATTATATCCATCTGAAATCTTATGTTAGTTTCAAGCAAAAAGTCACTAACTTTGAAATTTTTCCAAGCTTTGCACAACTGAACGAGTGGTCTGTCTTCAGTTATATAATTCGTCATCAAAATTTTTGAGTTTTTCAAATGACTACCTTCTTTTATATAATTCTTCGTCAAGCCTTCTCTGCAAAAGATTTTATTTGACAGAAAACGCCAATAAGCTTAGGAAACCAAATACTGAATAAGAGCAAATATGTAAACATTGCAATATAAATCGCTGATGACTACTTCTTTCAAAATAGTTCTCTATAATTTTAATACGAATAAAAACAAACCCTGGATTGCAATACGGTAATGAGATATCCTTCTTCACTGGCAAATTGCAATCACATTCTACAGTTGTTTTCTTTTCACTGATATCAGTAGAATAACTGATCACTTCTTTCGTATCTGTGATTCCATGATAAAGAATATCACTCAGCAATGTTTTATGCGATGGTTCTTGCAAAGATGCAACCGCCTAAAACAAAACGCAAGTATTTAATGCAGTCGACATCAAGCCATCGCTGCAATAGCAGTCGTGCAAGTGTGAAGTAGATTCCGCAAGACTCCATTCATTTTAAGAGCTAATAACGATAGTGGTGGTCACCAAATACAATTCTTACTCGAACTTCCGGCCCAACCTACTACTTGGCATCGCCAAAATCGAAGTTTTAGAACATTGGAAAAAGCTTTACGCCAAAAAAAAACATTGAAGTTTTCATTCACATACTTTCTTTTCCGCTTCATCTCTGAATGCATCATACACTGGACGACCAAGTATTGGCACAGCTGCTTTTGGAACTGTCGGTACTGGTCTCGTCACTTCTTTCATTTTCACCCTTTCTGGAGATTTCGCATTTGTTACTAAAACTGAATATGGAAGCTAGCACCAATACAAATTACTTTTTCGTTTGCATCCTAATGCTGTTCCAAAATAAATAAGTTTTAACGGCAGGAAGAATTATATGACATCATCGATATCCCTAACAAAACCGCACGAATCTCCGGCTAAATTCGAATGCTAAATACAATACACAAACGACACTCTTAATGAGGTCTACCTTCGATGCTCGTACACGAAGTGCCGGATAACATCTGCACAAAGGCAGTACCAGTATATGAAATGTGTTGCGCGGATGTTGTCAACGGCTTGAAAAATGCTGAGTTTGGTGATGCATGATGGGAAGAATGCTGGGAAACCGTTGAACGATTCATATTTGCCGCAGCCTTCGTGTTGAATAAAGGACTCAGTGCTGATGCTAGCATCTCATTCTTCTCTACATAATGAATCTGTTTACAACATGCAAAAAAATGTGTTGTGAATACGGTACTGTTGTGCAAATTACTACGCTGGGTAATGGTACGCTGTCATTATTACCACAATTAGTAATGGTACTGCTGTAATTCTAATAAGGAGAGTTGCTTGAAGATACAAAGCCTACACGTAAAAGGATCTAGTGATAATTCCAAATGTCCAACTATTTCGCTTAATCGATCCAGTAATTAAAGCTATCGGTGTCACTGTGACAATAAGTAATTAAAATTAAGCTGGATTTTTCATTTACCTCAAGTTGCACCGATTTACAATTACTACTAGTAACCTCAAATATGAAAAAAACAGAAAAGCAGCAATGATGACGGCACAAATAAAAGTAACGGTGATGAAAATTTTTTGAATACATCAAAATTGCAAATTTATTATAAAAAAAAGAAACTTACGGTGGGGCTGCACCGGACTGAATGCGCTAGATGTGCGTGCGCTAATATTTATCGCATCCATTGGCTGCAAAAAGAAAACACGAAACATCAGTCCATTCGCAAAGCATTACTTCCAATATTACTGAGATCGAGCAATTTTTTAATGCAAGAAAATATAAAATTCGATTAAATTATAAGAACTAAACTATCTTAATATACCTTATGCCTCGGCTTATTATGCGCATTATGATATTTGGAAACATATGCTTGCAGTTCTTTGACGAACGGAATCACAGTGTAGAAATTACTCGGAGACATGCCAATTCGTTCACATGCAGCAACGTCGTTTCGATCCTTCGGCAAATTCCAAATACAAAACCACTGAATCTTACTGAAAACTGGAAATTCTTTTCCCTACTCGGGAGAAATGCGATATTCTCGCTCACTTTATACAATCACTCAACAAATTTAAGAGCGATAACCCCTAAAAAAATCCATGAAATACGTACCCTATCTCGTTTCGAGTATTGGGAGCAAATGGAAAATCAATGGGAACATCGCGTATTATGTACAACCGTATTAAAGTATCGTTCACAAAACACTGAATCAAGCGTGTTTTGCAAATTTTGTCAGAAATATCAAAACCCACTTCTTCCATTACCTCTCGACTAGCGCATGCCATTGCTTCTTCTTCTTCGTTCACCTTAAATATATTTAAAGTATATTCTTTCTAACTTTTCGGATAGAATATTTGGACCAGTATTAATTGAACGGTGATATACCTTTTGATGCATACACAGCAAATTCGCTACCTTTTTCTTTTACCTGGTTTGCTATTTAGTTCATTGCATGAATGACGAAATCTTTCTCTTAAAATTTGCGAGTGATAACCTCTTGATAATGATAACCTCTTCTCTAATGTTTTATGACTTCAATCACGTGGTCTTGAGGAATTTCCAGTCTTAAATCAGTTTAGCAGTAGAAAAATTTCTTTTCCCTTACCGATAACTTTTTGCTATATACAAAACGAATCATTAGTTCTACATCGCTTCAAATCTTATTCTTCACAATCTCTAGCACTCTACTTTAGACGTTAGATGAAAGTGTTTTTATACAAAGAAATCTTGTTTGAAACTGACAAAAATGTCAATTAGTAGTTAAAGCCCACAAATGCTAGTCGTTTTCTCTATTCCAAATATGTCACGTATATACTAGCCATTACTTCTTACGTCAAAGTGTTATGAATTCTATATCAACAACCGCCATCTGCCTTATAAAGTTTTGTACGATTTGAAATATCAAAAATCAATAATTATCAAAAAAGTCCAATTCCCCTAATTTCACCTCAATTGCCTCTCGTGCATAAAGAGTGCCTGCACACTATTAAGTTAATCGGATTAATTACTTCAGTATTTAGAGATTAAAGTAATTGTTGCTTCGCTTATAATTTAGGAAAGACATGTTAAACAAATCATACATCTCATTATTTTACGTCGCACTCGGTACCCTTCCCCTTACCTCAAGAAACACACAGACGCATAGTAAGACCAATTTGGAGCTGAACAATAATCCTTCTAAATTAGTCATTAAACTTTAATAATAAACTCATTATAACAGCAGAAAATTCAAACACACGTGATGCAGCTCAGTGAACTCATATCTGTTCATCTTTTAGCATACATGAAACGTCCATCGAAAAATTCTACAATTAGTTTCAGTTTAATTTCCATTTACTTTGTCATATAACTTTTTAGTGATAAAGGATAATGCTCAATATATGCGTGCAGATCTTTCGATGTATTTTCAGAATACATGACAATTAGTCCACGGTTTCCCCAGTAGTAAGAAGTTCGTTTTTCAACTCGTCTCATGAAACTAGCCCGGTTATGGTGAAGTGAACCACACAAAACACGCACATATAAGTACAAGTACGTAGAAGATCGTCTAATCATCCCTTGTTCAAAAAGCTAAATTTTTTATCTTATCTGCTTGCTTACCACCAATTAACAGTTCTGTTACAGTGGTTCATGAAAGACGATTTGATTTCCTTTATCTATTCTATTCTTTTTACTCCTTTACCTGTTTTGCCGCGATTATCTGCCTGCTTACATTTTTGTCCCATGTTTCGCGATGGATTTTGCACTTAAATCTTTCCTCCCTATTGGAGGAAAAAATTACTTCTGCTGCTTTTTAAAATGTTTTTGTGCTATGAACATGTTTTGAAGTCGGTTCTCCCTCGAATATCTAATACAATTTAACCTTTACTCTCTCTTAACATTCGTGTGCTTCAAGCAGTGTGCTGCTATTAACTGACGCTATCACTATAATGTTTTGGATATAAAACAAAGTAATGCCATGCATAGCATGAAAACAACTTTTAAAATTCACTCGCCACCAGCAAGTAAATGTTGATTAATCAATTTAAAAAGTTTCAAAAGTCAACGAACTTTCCCCTTCGGAAATCCCCAGCTGTTCTTCGCAAAATATCCCTGCACCAACAATACGTAATTCAATGAATTATCCAAGAGCGCGGCACCATATGTTGGCACGCCAGACTTATAAATACGCCATTCCTCCATTACCTGCAACAGATTTCCAATAAATAAAATTTTAGAAGTATTACTAAATACTAGAAAACTTAATGATAAGCAGAGCTTACGAGAGCTGAAAAATAACACTCATTAATTACCTTATCGACGCTATCCGTATATTGGACAAGGAAATCACAATGATTGAATATCTGCCTAAACAATATTACGATTAGTGAAGAAACAGAATGACAAATCATATCTACAATAGAACTTGCGATCTACACATATAGGGTCGTACCATGAATAACCTTAAAAGAACACTTTACTGTCAGTATAAAGTCACTCACCCGACCAAATCTCTCAAGCTCACTTCAGGACATTTTACATCTGCATTATTCCCTTTGCAATAAAAATCTATGTAAAACCAATGTGCCAATTCGATTTGAAAGCAGAGCCGAACAGGAGCGTTTTTCTGCAAGACATTAAATTGTTTGGGCCAGAAAAACCGCCCACTTCTTACAAACAAATGTTAAAATCTGAATTTTCAGTATGCATAAGAGGTAGAATGCTCTTCAAAGGTAATCTATAAATTACCTGATCGTCTGGGATATTGATAAGAAATCGGAAGCAAAGATCATCTAAAATATCATCAGGCACAGGTGGACCAAATGACACGGAACTTTTGGTTCGTGAACCTGAAGACTCAGTGGTCGATCCTGAAAAACACAACTGTTAAAACGCAGTTTGGTCCATGATTAAGCGGAACAGATAAAGCTGACTCGAAATTTTACCCATAATCCAAAATCTAAATGAACGCAATTATGGCTCACAGACATTTTGAACATCTTGTGGAAAATCTGAATTTGAATATCGTCAAACAAAATAAAGTTCTGATGTTACTCAACATAATAAAAACCAAAATCATTGTCACCTTTAGACATCCGTGCTCCAACGCTGCTTTTCTTCGAGCCGTTTTTTTGACGACCACGTCTTGAATTCTCGCATCTGTCACCATTTCCTGACACAGTTCTTAAGTACTCTTTTCAAGCCAATTCGATTATATAAGCTTCCTATGAATGTGGAAAAGGGAAACAAGGTTGGAAGAGACAAAGAAGTAAAGAAAGTAGTAAAAAATAATTTTCTGCGTGGAATGTCTTCAAAAAGTCTGTTTTGACACTTATAATGGCAACAGGTGCAAATTGTTAGCACAGCTCGTTGTCTAACAGCGAGATTCAATCTTAACACCTTTAAAGTATAAATTGAGTGGCTGTTATGCGCGTTGATATCCACGTGCAGAAGTGCAGAAAGTAAAATTATAATATTTTAAGTTGTGAATAAATGAGATAAAACCAAAAAGCCTTATATGGAAGCTGTGAAGTCCTTCATCGTTCCGAAAATAAAAGTGAATGATCATACTAAGTATCTAAATAACTCACCGCCAATAACATCACTGGAATCAACAGTCCGCAAATTTCGATTATAAATTGTCATTCGTGTGGGATGCTGTTTACGAATCATACTGCTCACCAAATCACTCATTAACTCAATTCTCCTTTGCGTCTAAAATTTACAAATACTTGAACTGATATTCAAATATTCTAGCAATTCGATGACGAAAATTTTTGCAGACTGTAAATCGCCGTCATCAACTACTATCTAAATCAAAAATTAACTTTTATTCTGAAATTATTCCACGAAATTTACATCTACCTAAGAAGTTATCATCCTGAAACGCCCTATGAAATTAGCATAAATTTAGGATTAGCAAATATTTTGAACCATTCATTTAATGAAACTGTATCTATTCAGGATAATCTAAATTACCCCACAAAATATCGAGGGTTGCATGATACGGACTCCTCTTCATAGATGTCCAATAATCAGTTCTCTATCAACAATCGTCTTTCCAGACTTATGAAAGAAGAATGGTAGGATCAAAATAAATCTGAATTACAATCACTAAAAATAAAGTGCAGTAAATCTGCATGAAAGTAATATTCTAACAATAACATGAAATAACCAGTATTATGTCGAAAATTCAGCTGTAACAATCAGAATGATTTCCAAGAAGTAACATACGTAAAGAAATGAAGAGATGTACAACGTGAGAAAGAAATCCAGCAATAAGTATAAAATTGGTTCAACAATGAATCAGAAAATCTTATGCCATCATCGAAGATTTATTACTTATGTTATCATCGAAGAAAGATCATATATACAGAAAATTCCAACGATAATTACACATACAACTCTTGACATGAACTGAATAATAGTGTTCGGGAGTGATCATTGAATCGACAAACGTACTCCCACACCAATAACACAACGTAACAGCGACAGACGTGATTTGGATAACGCAACCACACGACCACTTGTGGAAGTAATGAATAGCGCTGCAGTAGGTGGAAGGAGTGGAATATATAGGACAATGAATTGCATACCTCATGTCAGGTGATTAGAAAGAAACAGAATGGTATTTGGCAGGTGGCACGAGCTACGCGGGATCATCATTCCGCGGGTTACCAAGCCTGTTCATAGATATTGTTCCGGTTTTGTTTTCAGATGTCATAATCACTGGGATCTATTTCCGGTCGCCGTCCGAATGCTAATTAATTAAAAAGATTTAAGGAAAAAGCTGAAATAGATTCATTGGGGTTTTGCTATTCCAAAGGCTGTTTTTATGAACTGCGATGGTAAAGAATACTATTTGTTGCCTTCTAGTAATTAATAAACACATTTTTGTGAAGTCATTGTCATGATTTTATACTGTCAACGTACACTCACATTACCAATGATCATAAGTTTTTTTTTTTTCTTTAACATTTTACTGAGCTAACTTTTAGCGTCAGCTGAGATCAAAACTTATGTTTTCAATTCAGATATGTTACGGGTTTCACTTTTTTCCAATGTTGATAAAATAGGCAATAAGTGATGTTCGAATTTGTGATTTTGAATGCTCTAAGATGGTGCCAGTTTCTTTTTTTCTTTTCGTCAAATACGATTATAAATATTTGCAAAAATTTGTTTCATCCCTTTTATTTTGCTGGCCGCACAGATTTCGTATATTGCTTTAGAAAGATTGAAAATATTTCGCTAAATGAAACAATGAAACTGTTACAGCACTTTTAATTTGAATCAAAAAATCTTATGAAAAAGAGCTCGAAAAGTGAGCGTCAATAAAATTTGTAAAGAAAAAAAAAGGAATTCATCAACATAGATCGGAGGTATTGAAAAGCTTATCTATGTATAATTTTCATTTAAGAATGTTGCGATTGTTATTAAAATATAGTTCAAAATTAAGGATGATCGGTAACCTTGTCCGTAAAACGGTTTTCAAAACCTATAAATTGTCAACAATAACTCATAAATTACTTGTCATGCAATGGTAATTTAATTTACAGTTATTTCGCTGTTATTTGTTGTACATGTGTAGGTGGGTTCTCTTTTTCCTGAGAGTAGTTTGATGTTTGGTTAGAAATTAAGAGTTGCTGCGCCCGATAGTGCGTTTCTACTCTCTATTGTTGATAAGCTGACGTCCTCTCTAGCATGTTTAACATCGCCTATTGTCTCAGCGTTCTGTGACATTTACTTGATTTTTTTTGACAAAGTTTTAGCCTTCTTATTTGATGACAAATTTTTGTCATTTTTCGTGCAAATACGGAAAAATATAATCATCTGTTTGGTGCGCAAAATCTGTGTTGTAATTCGTCGTACAAATATATTTCCACAAGCTTTGAGAAACAGTTGTTGAGATGTTGATCAGAACAAAGGTACACGCAGATCCGAGGCATTTCCCACGTTGATTCAACGTGACACATTTCGATTTATATAGTGCGTTTAGTTTGAGAAATTATTGAAGTATCGATCGGAACAAAACTACGCACTTCTTCCAAACATTTTTCTTGTTGGTTCTGCCGGATACATCTCGAATTTATGTAATGCATTTGATTTTAAACATATAAGATGCTATTAGTTGTGACAGATTAAACATTTAATGAAGTAGCCATATCAAAGAAAATAAGGGGTGATAAATTGTGTGCGAAACGGTAGATATATCATCAGTAGTGTTCTTCCCAGTTGCTCCAGATAAATTTAAAAAAAGCAGAAAAGGATTGGTGAACTACGTTAGGAGATCGAGTATACTGCTGAACTGATTCCATTGCTAACGAAGGCAGTTCTTTTGTTTTGCATTTCAAGAGCGAAGCAAGAAAGATTCTGGTCGGATTGGTCGATCAATAATTAGAAATTAGTTACTATTTTCCGGTTTTGAAGAAAAGCTTGAAACACTGGAACAGATATTCGAAAATCAGTGATTTCGAATAGACATTTATTTGTATCCGTAGCGGTAGGTGCATATCTGGTAGCAGTTATGCTTAGTTGAAATCACTGATTGTCATTCTAAAAAAAAATTGTTTGAAGGAAGAGTTGAGGCTCGAATTGTATAATAGTAAGAAAGCTGATTCCCTTATGTTTGTTCTTCCGAAAATTTCATTAACTTCGTGTTTTCTTTTTTTTTACTTTTTAAAGTACCATCGTATTCATTCATGGTTATGCTATCGTCATTGTTGACTAACTTAAGTATTCGTGGTGGTTAGCATATTAGATCCGTATGTAATAATTTAGAAAAAGTTTTCTCAACTTTTCTAAACTGATATATGAGATTTTCCTCAAAATTATTTTTATTAATGTCAAGTGGTGACATTCGAGCATATGAGATTTGATTGAAGATAGGTTGCATTAATGAGTGGTACCTACAGTTCCTGGTTGGTTTCTTGTTGCATTATACTAATTGTATTGAGAGGATTTCGTCGTGAATCATTCCATGTCAATATTAAGTAACAGTGATGTTATCTCAACTAATATTGATTCCAGATATAAAATGTTTTATCGAAAAATTGTTCTTCGAGCTGTTTGGAAGAACTCTCCGTTGTTCGTTGTTAATGCTCGATCTTATGCCACCAATGGTAATCTTTTTTTTCCTCTTATATAATCAAGTTTTGTTATCAGAAATTTCATGTTAGTTCATGTTTTGGAATACCTAACGGCCAATTAAATAGGTCGAAAGTTTCAAATTTCTTCAAGTTGAGCGTAAGCTTATAATTTAAAATAAAAAGGAGGAGAGAAGGAATAATTACACTGGTGAATCAGGGCAGCATTATTTCAGATATAGATTTGGTGGTTATTGGAGCTGGTCCGGGAGGTTATGTAGCAGCAATTAAAGCAGCTCAACTGGGCATGAAAACAGTATGTATAGAAAAGAATCCGAAATTAGGAGGTACTTGTTTGAATGTCGGATGCATACCATCGAAGTCTTTGTTGAATAACTCATTGTATTATCATATGGCTAAACACGGTGAATTCAATAATCGAGGTTAGTTTGTTTTTGTGAACAGTTTATCCATGTGATTAGAATATTTTCAAAAAAAGGCTAATGTGAATTTATTGAAATACTTGCTTTAATCTAATCCTCTCAATGCCTAACGATTGTAAGATCCTGTTAAAATAAAAGTTATGGATCCTAGTTTTATGTTGTACTCGATGAATTCATTTCTCAATGGTTTTAAAACGTTTAGGTTTTAAAAATTTGACATAACTGAAGATTTTAGTTTCTGTATAATCGAAATTTTATTTATTCTCTATTATTCATGGGTTTATATGTAGTTCTCTTTTGGTTGTTATTTGAAAAGAAATTATGTTATGTAACCTTAAAAATTGAATTGGGATGAAAAACAAGGCTCCAACTTCCTTTTGAGACATCTTTATGTTCTACTGCGACGGAAAATATTATTTGGAAAACAGCGGTTGACAAATTCGAAAGATAAGAGTTGTTTCAGTTTAGGTGTTGAAGTTGAGCCGAAACTGAATTTGGACAAAATGATGGCTGCAAAGGCAGCATCAGTGAAGGCTTTGACGGGTGGCATAGAGATGTTGTTTAAAGCGAACAAAGTAAGGCCAGTCAATGGAATAGCGACGATTACAGACAAAAATGAAGTATGTTGCTATTATTTCTAGAGACTTACCTACAAAATTAATTACAATGAGTTTAGGTCATTGTGAAACTTGTTGGAGGTGGCGAAGAAAAAATTACAGCACATAATATACTTATTGCATCGGGTTCCGAAGTTACTCCTTTTCCAGCCTTGCCTATCGATGAAGAACAGGTTTATACTAATCTTCTGCTATTTCACTTTTTCCTGTATCCATATATTTTAATACCAACATTTTCAGTTTTGTTGAGTCACTATTTACGTGATGTAGAGCTTGAGCAGTAGGTTAATCAACTATCGTAACAAATTTCTGTTCGATGTATTGAAGGCCAACCAGTTAAGTTACTTACTTTGGTCGCGTAAGTGAAATTAGCTGTTTCAATTTAGCAAGTTGACTTGTCGATTGAGAGCTTATGAGCGCAGTTAGTTTAGGGTCGATAAGTCAGATTACTGTTACTGTGATGATTTTTCCTTTACCTCAATAGTTGAACCTTATTTTCATTTTTGTCAAGAAAACTATTTTAGATCATTTCTTCAACGGGCGCGCTGTCATTGAAGAAGATACCAGAGAAAATGATTGTAATAGGGGCTGGTGTCATCGGTACTGAATTGGTAAATATTTTGATTAATGAAGATGTAAATTTGGTGATAAGAAAAAGAGTACTGGGAAAAGAAGAGAAAGAAGCTTTCAGAATTTAACTTGTCAGCGGTGGGTCAGATAAGACTTTAAATTGAAATCCCTCTACACTATTACATAATTCATGTCGCTACCCCTAGGGAAGTGTGTGGCAGCGATTAGGAGCTGATGTAACAGTTGTCGAATTTCTTGGACATGCTGGTGGGTTGGGTATCGATATGGAAGTAGCAAAATTTTTCCAAAGAACGCTTGCCAAGCAAGGTATTTATATACATTTTATTGGACGCAAGGTACACTGCGATTTCTTTTTAAGCTAATAAATTACAAGTATGATTTTGAGTTAATAAATTACAAATTTCAGGAATGAAATTCATGATGAATATGAAGGTAACAGGAGGAGGAAAAGAAGGTGCTTTGGTTAAAGTAAATATAGAAAATGCAAAAGGTGGAGATCCAAAAACGGTATGGATTTCTTTGAACTTTATATTTATCCGAAACTTCTGACCAGTTCATCAGTTGCTAGACTGGTCTGTAGTTTGTAAAAGTAAACTTTGCAAACCCTATGTGCGTTTGTTTCTCTTATGTAGGATTCTTCTTTACTTATGGAAATTAAAGTATTTGGAGAGAAAGTAAAGATATTTTGCTGTCATTCTGCAATTTTCATAAATCAAATTGTGTTGCCAAATTAAAAAATTTAGTTTTCAGTTCATAAATTAAAAAATATTTTGATTCAGTTAGAAGCAGATACTGTTCTTGTCGCGACTGGCCGAAGACCATATACGGAAGGATTGGGAGTTGAAAATGTTGGCATAAAATTGGATTCAAAGGGACGCGTACCAGTCAATGAGCGCTTCCAAACCTCGGTTCCATCAATATTTGCAATCGGTGATGTAATTGCTGGGCCGATGTTGGCACATAAAGCGGAAGTAAACCTATTTCTAATAGTTTTAAACTTGAATCTATGCTTACGAATCGAAAAGTGTGCCGTTGCAAGAACATAATAAATTCTACATCTGTTGATTTTACTGTTTGGGGTCTTAACTACTTTTCATTCCAAGTTGTTTTTTTTGCAAGTTTATAAAATTACCTAATTTGTGTAGTTGAATTAAAACGCAGCCGTGTTTTAAATTGTGCTACTGACTTGCTTGTGGAACGACTAATAAATTTTGTAACTCTTGAGGTTATTTCTTATTTGTACCTTGACTAACCATTATGAACTGATGACATGAAAATATGATACTAACGTTAAATTGTTTGTTCCAGAATAGAGCACTCAAACTCTGAAGCTATACCTAGTGATTTAAAATTTCAGGATGAAGGAATTTTATGCGTTGAAGGTATAGCAGGTGGAGCAACACATTTGGACTACAACTGCATCCCGTCGGTTGTTTATACTCATCCTGAAGTTGCATGGGTTGGCAAATCTGAAGAACAGTTGAAGAGTGAAGTTAGCAGTTTTTTGTTATAATAATTAAATATTTTACTTAAATTATTTGGTGAATAAAATATTGGGAGTTCATATAACCATCTTTTTCAGAATGTACAATACAAAGTTGGCAAATTTCCATTCATGGCAAATTCGCGAGCTAAAACAAATAATGATGCGGAAGGATTTGTAAAAATTTTAGGAGATAAGGCAACAGATAAAATATTGGGAGTTCATATAATTGGACCGGTATGCTCGTATAATTTTTTTCCTTTTTTTATATCGTCATTTGTGTGTTTCATGAGATCCGGGAATGTAGGGCATGCATTGATTCATTTTAGTTTATTTTTAGGTGATATCGATTATTGTTGTGCATTTTATAATTTATAAAATTCCTCCAGAGACGTAAATACTACCGAATATAGACTCGTCACAAACTCACATCCACCTATGGGGGATTTTTAATTTTGGTTGTTGATTTACTAAATTTCATCTTTCATAAAATTTTTATTTCAATCATTACAGAATGCTGGTGAAATGATTGCGGAGGCAACCTTAGCATTAGAATATGGAGCCTCCTGTGAAGATGTTGCTCGAGTTTGTCATCCACATCCTGTTAGTTTCATTTTTTTTTAAGAAAGATTGCAGAGCATTTGATAACAGCAGTTATTGCGTAATTGGTTAATTATGAAAAGAGTCCGCACTTTTCTTGCTGATATCTTCAGTCCTTTTTAGTTATGTCTTATAGACTATTAACTTTTATGATACTTAGTTTTATGTGCATAATTCGTTTTCAGCTATTTCAAGTGATATATAATTTTCAGACACTGTCAGAAGCGTTCCGCGAAGCCAATTTACAAGCATTTTGTGGCAAAGCTATTAATAGTGTTTGAAAATGATATGTTGTCTCTGTTTTTGCTTTTTTTGCAACCGGTTGTTTTTTTTAAATTAGAGATCTTTGTTGGTTTATCTCAGTTTTGCTTTATTTTTTCATTAGCTATCTCTTCGTGCTCATTAGGAAATTTTTATCGGAATTGCAATAATAATAAGTTATGCTGCATGTAGTTATAGAAATTATTCGACCTTGTTTTGGTATGTGATACGTAGTTTCTAATATTTTCCTTGTAATTGTGAACATTCATCGTTTCATTAAAACCGCTAGCTGATCCGAGAAGTTTCCTGCGGTTTTCTTTTCCATATCGATTTCCTTGTAAAATATCAACTTTTTCATGTATTTCGTTGTCAATTTCGAATTCCTTGTCTTCTGATTTGTTGAAATCGTAGAAATTGATTTCAAAAAATGTATGAATACCTCCTATAACAATATTTACTAGTTTCTGTACTTATAAAACGAGATGTTTATTGATTCATATTATATACAGACGAGATCAAACGGTTTTATATCTCTATAATTTTTTTTAATAATGACACAATTCTTGGCTTTAAGTACTTATGCGATGACGGGAATAAATGATAGATTTGTGCATATTATCGGTACAGTGGTTCATCTGCGTCTACAAAGATTATCGATTCAATGTCGAGAGTGATTGGTCGTGGACACTGAAAGTTTTACATTATGCATGTTGGTTTTCTATAGCAGTGCTCTGGTAAATTTTATAATCATCGTATCAGGAACGATATGTTTAAAATCCCATGTATACATACATTAATCAGCGTATAAATTTCCTCGGCGAACTTACCCGTAAGGTACCTAGTTCGCCTGCTTCTACTTTAATTGCTGCATTGACGAATTCATCGAGGTTCAGATCAGCAATTTCGTTTATCGGTAAGTCGAAATAATCACCCAGGTTCCGGACTAGCTGTTTCATTGTAAGCCTGCAAAGAAATTATTCAGAATAGGATTCATGAGATTTGTGAACGTTCAGTCGCGGGACAAATATGATTCGAATTGCTTGTCTTTCATTTCTTGCAAGTTGAAGTTCGAGAATTGCAACCTAACTTTTGAAAGTATGGTTTATACCCATATCAATCTGAACTTGGATTAAGTTTAGCGTCTCCGTAATTTTCAAATATATTTTAGCTTAGTTTTTTTGTTTGTTTTGATTTCCAGAAAATAGCATGTAGTAATTTAATTAATCTCAAACATGTTTCGCATTATATTCGGCAACATGTTTTCGCCAAATTATCCGTGATGTTTGCAAAAGTGAGGTCCTTTCGACATTGCAAAATAGTGATATCACGTGGCATCATATAAGGAGGTAATTAAATGATTTCAAACTTTCTTGAATGCATAAAACAAACATAATGGCTTACTTTTTGCCACCAAACCAAACTTGTACATTTGCAACATTGTCAATTTTACGACCGAAATAATGTAACATCTTCAAATATTCAGCAGCAATTTCAATAGCAATGGTTGTTAATGCTAAACCAACCGCTGAGTAAATTAACGTTAATACCAGGTATTTTTCACTAGAAAAAAAAAAGATAATTAAGTTAATTATCTGTCTTCTGGAATTATCTTATAAATTTCATGCAATTTTATCGTTTCCCTTCTAGATTGTTATATTAAAATTCCTGAAAAAAAAAACTAATCAACTTTTGAATGATTTAAATCATTGAAATTTAAAACAATGAAAATTATCGATACTCTCTAATCATTCGTCATAACGCATTTTCATGCTTTTTATTCCACTTCGTGCCAGATGAAGTTAATTCATAGTAAGCCCTATCAAAAATATTAGATTAACAACGATAATTTCCTAATTTTAGAAATGTTCCCTTTCTATATAATTTATAATTTCGAATTTGAAAATAATAAAATAAAATTTGTTACTTTTTAGGCACCAAATCACCTAAACCAATGGTTGTCAGTGATACAAAATTGAAATAAATAGCTCCAAAAAAGTCCATTTCCGGTTCATAACTAGCAATAACAATTGAACCAATTATGATGTAAATGAAAAAAGCCACAATTAGTACCAATGCTTCACCCCATTTTTCTATCTGTAAAGAAAAATGAATTAACAAAATGACAAGGTGATATATCTACTAATATTTTACCTTTTAGTATTTTTCGAAGATAACATGCATACATAACATACAACATACAGTTCAGCAAAACTATATGTATCATTTGTTTATGAAAAATTTTTGTTTCCGATATTTCTTAGCTAATTTATTAAACAAAGAAAAAGAATGGATGAAAATATATTTGCTAACCTTTTTTTCTTCGGTACCATTTAATACATCATTATCATCATTTGAAATTTTCTATAATATATTAATCTTTATTGTTTTTTTTTCATTTTAGAATTATTTCCAAATAATAATTAATTGATTTTCTTACAATAATAAAAAAGCAAATATGTTTGTTTACACATAATTTTTTTTTTTTTGTTTACACATAATTTACACATAACAGATAACTCATTTTTGTTTACACATAATTTACACATAACAGATAACTCATTTTTGTTTACACATAATTTACACATAACACATAATTTTTCAAGAAAATTTTCTAATACGTTTTTTGTTGTATTATTTAAAAATATCTATTAAAAATTAGGATTGAATTAAAAAACATACTTGCTTGTTATCATCATTCTTTAAATCATTGATTAGAGCTTCGTTTTCTTTAAACTGCTTTTGTTTTCTATTGCGATGAAAAATTGCCCTATGGATCGTTTGCAATTATATAATATTAAATATTAAATTTTATGGTTTATTAAATTTGATAAATTTGATTTATAAAAATCAAAGTAAAGAATTTACAAAATGTGTCATTTACTTTAACAATTTTAATGACTTCAAATTTAACTCTTCTTTCATCATATCCCTCAAAATTTCTTAATTCTCCTCATTTAGCTTAGATTGAAATTTCGCTTGATTATGCTAATAGTATATTATACTTAAAAATTTAGCAAACATAATTCACAAAATCTAATTATTATTATAAGAACTAAAAATAAATATCTAATTATTACTATAGGGATTGCAAATATTCGTCGCTATGCGTGGTAAATTATATAGTATGGATAAAAAATTGATGAATGAAACTTCCAATTTGAAATTTTCTTAAAATGCAATAATTTAAATATTAAATTGTTCTTTCTCTGTTTGCCACATTTTTAATTCATTATTTTTACAATAAGAAAATTCATTTTAAAATTTACAATTTAAAATTAAATTTCAATTTCAGATTAAATTAACCTTTTTTTAATTTGCTCTTTTTTTTTCTAGTCTAAAATTTGTTTTATAATTTTCTTTTTTAAAAAACGCAAAAGAATTACTTGATTAAACGTGCTGCTATTTGCGTAATTCCTTTCAAAATTTCGGCTAAAAATTTACCCAAACTAGCAATTGCAAGCATTGTAAATGGTATACCTAAGATACCATATGCTATAACAAAAAGTCTTCCTTCCATTGTTCTTGGTGCAACATTACCGTATCCTGCAATATCAAACAAAAAGTGGTAAAATTGTCGAAAATTTTAGCTAAATGAATTGATGTTGAAATATACGTAAAATGAGATACGTAAAATATACTATGCCGTAAAATATACCGTATCCTGCAATGTAAAAGAAAAAGTGGTAAAATTGTCGAAAATTTTTGCTAAATGGATTGATGTTGAGATTGATACGTAAATGAGATACATAAATATGTAAATGATATATGTAAAATATACTATGCCGTAAAATATACTATGCTGCAATCTACTACTATGCTCACGTACATTTTCACTCAGAACATGTAAATGAAGGAATAACGATTAATCATTTGAATAAATCTCGATAAAATGATTAACTATATATATTATACAAAAAATGGGTTCCAAAAAAAAGAAAAAACGAAATGATAAATGACTGTTTTTTCCCGAAATAAAATATCTGAAATAGTTAACGATTGCTTTTAATCATAACGGATATTATATTATCGATAAGGATTGGAATGGATAATTTTTAAATGGGGAAAAATTTTCTCCATTCTAATTTCATTTTCCATTCTTTCATCGAATATCAAAAAAAAAGGCATACCAATTGTTGTTATTACGGTAAAGCAAAAGACAATAGAATCCATGAGAGACCAGTAAAAATAATCATTAGCATCGTTTGTACCAACAATATCTTCAATTAATTTGAATTAAAAATTTAAACTTAAAAAAATAAATTCAGTTAATGAATTCAAATTTAGTTAACTGTAGCGAAATTTATCTAATATACGCCAAATTATACCATATAATTTGTAATTAACCATCAAATAATTAAAAATTTGTGATAAGATTTTTTAAAATGAAAATCTAAAATATTAATAATTCTTAATTTCTGCTTATCATTTATTCGTTTGTCTGAATAATTTGAAAGTGAAAAAAGAAAACTATAAAGTGGAAAATTTCGAGAAATATAAGAACTGACTATTATTTCGTGAAATTTTATTTTCATTTTGAATATCGTAAATTTGTTCATTAAAGCAATTATTGTAAACATCATCGGTTAGTTCATCCAATTGTTCTCCTTCACAAATTTTAGCACTACTCCTTTGTTTTAACATTTCGATCATACATTCCATTTTGGGACGTACTAAACATTTCATACATTAAATTATTTATTCAAATCATTTTTTCATTTTTTTAATCATTCTAAAATTATGATTTCGAAAAAGTATAAAAATTAGCTTTTCTGTAATGTAAGATTTTTAAGGTTTTTACTTTTAATTAAAATTTCAAAATAATACGTTATCCTGATGATTTTCATAAAACTATGATTATTATTGATTTGTTAAAATTGAAATACAAAATGAAATTTTGTATTTCAATTTTAAAATTTCATTTTGTATTTCTTCCCGTCTTTTCTCCCCTTTCTCTCTCTCTCTCTCTCTCTCTCTCTCTCTCTCTCTCTCCTAATTACAAATATGAAATTATTTTAGGATGAATGTATTGCTGTGTTTTTTTTTCATTCAATAATAACTAATAAATCATAAAATAATAATTTTTAGAGCTAAAAAAACGAAAATCTTCTAAAAATTCAATTACTATTTCAAAAATTTATTTTTCAACAAAAATTCACAACTATATGAGATTGATGAAATTTCAATATTTATTTCCCAAAACAATCTTTTCCTTTCCCTCTCTCAAATTTCTTTCTTTCTTGTTTACTACACATTATAGAACTGATATAATTGATTAGCATATATTTCAACAATTTTTTAATTTTAAATTTCACTTGTTTTTGTTTTTTTTTTTCCATTTAGCTATCGCAATCAATTTTTTTTTTTTTTTTTGAAAATTTGAAATATTAAAATTTAAATTTTGCTTCTTATTTTCGTTGAAATATTTGCTATATTTAGAAGTTGGAATAAAACAAAAAGGAAAATAAAATTAATTAGAAATCAAAATTATACACTTATTTCGATCGGTAGGATTAGTTTTACTTCGTTTATCATCACCACGAAATATACTACCATCTCTCATTAGCATCTGTAAATATGATAACAAATTAAAACATTGCTAATTTCATTTATTCTTTCATACAAAAAGTTTATTTAAATTTTTTAATGAAAAAAATAATAAAAAAAAAAAAAACAAAAATAATTAATTAATTCATTGAAATAATTTATGAAACGAATGAATGATTTGAAAATAGTGCTAGGAAATATTTTAAAATATTAAATTTAATTTTAAATTATCATAAAGCATTTAGAAAAGAAAGAATAATCACTTTTGATATATCATATAATATTCAAAAATCAAATAATTGATATAATTTGATTTATTTATATAATAAAGCGTTTAAGGTAAAACAATGAAATTTGATATTAGTACAATTTCTTCTTTTTGTTTTCAAAAAAAAAGGCATTTAATTTTGATGTATAAGAAGAAAATTGAACCGTCGAATTTCGATTAATAGAAACAGCTTCAAGTTGACGAATTGCTAATGCTCCCGCGAGAACATAGGCAGCAACAGCAAAAACTAATATCAAATGAAGTGCGTATGGCGCAAACTGAAAATTTAAATTTGTTTGATTTATAATTTTTTTTTAAAAAATAAAAAAACAAAAGAATCGAAATTTCGAAAAAATTTTAAATTTAAAAAAGTTTATTAAATTAATAAAAAAAAAGCGAGAAAAATTCATTTGTTAAAAAATTTTAATTATTTTTACATTCAAACAAATATTTCTGCAATCCATTCTTTGTTGACAGTAATAAATTAATTTGTTTAATTAATATTTTTATAATTCCTTTTTTTTTTTCTTTCATTTCTATCTCATTTTCATAAATTTAATTTTTTTTCTTTCTTTCTTTTCTTTGAATAAAAATAGTTTTAATGATAAGTGATAATTTTTCAATAATATTCATTCATTTAAATTTTCTAATATATAAATATATGCATGAATTAATTGACATTTAAATTTTATTCCTAATTATAATTTCCCTTTTAAATTATCAATAATTTTAATTTAAAATAATGGAATAAAAAAATTGATGATAGTGAATGTTTGATGATAGGTGGAAAAATTAATGACAGTAAATTGGAGCAATTTTATTGCATACCGGAAAATCTTAAACGGAAATCTTTATGAGTAGTTTTTTTTCCGTTTTCATTTTCTTTCTGAATAATAAAACGAATGATCGTAATGAAAGGAAATGAGTGATGCAGAGAGAGAGAGAGAGAGAGAGGATTAGTTTCCATAAATTTTTATTACTTTTTCACACATTTTCAATCTCTCCCTTTTCTCTCTCTTACCCTCTCTCTCATCCTCTCTCTATTTTTTGATTCTTCAAACAGAGGAAGATTGTTAAAGAAATTCGAATGACATAATGAAGTTTTAATTCGAATAAATAAGAAGTAAATTGTTGAAAAGAAAAAGAGTTAAGATGAGATAATATTGACAGTCATGACAAATTCTCTTTAATCATTCAAAATAGAAAGTTAATTTTTAACAAATCAATGAAAAAAAAAAAGTAGTCGTTTTTATTTTTAGAGTATGAAATTAATTGCTTTTCACTAAAGATAATCAGTTCTTATTGATTATTATTCTAATCAGTAATAATTATTGATTACAATCAATAACTACCATAAAATAATAATTATCAATCTGATCAATAATAAGTATCAATCAGTAATAATTGTCGAATATAATCAATAATTATCATAAATAATAATTATCAATCTGATCAATAATAATTATCATTTTAAAAGAGTTAATGTTTTACTACCATAATAATGGAATCATTTATTTATCACTTATTGTAATTTCAACTTTTTTTCCTCTTCTTCTTTTTCCTTCTTATTAATAATATTTTGCAAATTATAAGTAATTTATAATTTGCAAAATATTATAAGTTAATTTTGCTATAGTAAAAAGAAAAAGAATGATATTTGTAATATTGTGTTTTCTTTTTTAAGAATTAAAACTTATTGAAATTTTTGTTTTCAAATAAGGCAAGAATAAATCAATGGTAATTTAAATTCAATTTTTTGAGGTTAGCATGTGAATTACGATAATTCATCATAGTATGTGAATTACGATAATTCATCATAGTATGTGAATTACGATAAATCATAGTATGTGAATTACGATAAATCATAGTATGTGAATTATGATAATTCATAGTATATGAATTACGATAATTCATAGTATATGAATTACGATAATTCATAGTATATGAATTACGATAATTCATAGTATATGAATTATGATAATTAAAGTATCATCATAATTCATACCTTCATTTGGTGATAGCGCATTTTCATATTGATTACGATCTTTTAGACAATTAAAATATTGATAAACAAATAGATAAATTCCTTTCATCATTGTTCGTTGATAATTTCATGATATTAGAAATGAAATATGAATGAGATCAATTAAAATGCGAAATTAATTAAAGACAAAAAAAGAATTTAATGTTAATTTCGATAAATTAAACAGCTATCAATTGTTGAAAACTAACTTATTTGCTAATTTTTTTTTAATCCTTTATATTAATTTATTAGTTATATCATTTCAAAAATATCATCGTTATCTTTTAAATAACAAATAAAAATATTTTGGTAATTTTAATTAATCATATCAATAATTATAATTGTGTTATCAATGTTTGTGCAAAAACAAAAAGTTAATAATCTTTAGCACCGAACAATTTTTTCACTAATATTAAATTGTTCGAGTAATTATTTTGTTATATCGTTGTTAATATAACTTGAAAAAAATATTCGTAAATTATAGATATTACTAGAAAATTACATTTAAATAATGATTAAATAAGATGAGAGAGAGAGAGAGAGAGAAAGAGAAAGAGAAATAGAAAAAAAGATTAAAATTAATGAAGGAAATTGAATTAAAAAAAAAATATTCTAAATTATAAATCAATTCAATTAAAGTATTTATCATTTTATCAGTTAAAATAAATTAAAATATTTATCAATTTATCAATGAAAGACTATTTCAAAATCAAAAATATTTATAGGAAGAATGAATTATAGTAAATTAAAATAGTTTGTTCAATAAAAACTTCTTTGATTATTTAGCAATATTTATTGTTTTCATATTTAAAATTGAATTAATACTATTGATAATCATCTCATTATAACTTAATACATAAATTACAGTAGATTATATGTGTGCTAAAAAAAAAAAAACTATGCTTAAAATGTTTTAAATAAATTTCTAAAATTTTATCATATATATTAATTGGCTAGGAAAATTTAAATGATTCAAATTTAATCGAACTAACAAATCTTACAAACATCCTAAATTTCTTCGATAATCTAAAACAGAATTATTTTCAGTATTTTCTTCTTTTAAATGTTCAGAGATAATTTTTCATTTTGCTATAGTATTCATTAATTAATATAACCAAATAATGAATTTTTAATTTGTTAACTATAATTTCAATATTGTACGTATGGATAAAATTAGGAAAATTTAAATATATCAAAAATAAGATTTAAAAAAAATATTTACAAATTTAACACAAATATATTTTGATTAGATGAAATGATAAAACTTTGTGACTTATATAATTTAATAAATTTGTAAAAATTTTGGTTATCATAAATTGATTGATAGGATAAATAAACTATAATAATTGGTTAATATTGATTGATAAGATAAATAAACTAAAAATTGATTGATAAGATAAATAAACGAAATTGATAAGACAAATAAACTATACTTGGAATAATTTGGTATAAAATTACTTAGAAAAATGAAATAATTGAGCTATTTGCATTCCTTATCATGCAATTTGATAATGTTAATGCGACCAAAGATAATTATTATTGAATTTGAAAAGCAAGATAATTATAAGAACAATAATATAATATTTTATAATTAATTACTGTAAAAAAAAAGTCTCATAACGAAATTTATTTAGTGTAAAATTTAATATTACCAAATTTAAAATTAAACAGGAAATTTGATGAATTTAAAAATTTGATGAAATATTGTTTATTTTTCCTTAGAGAAAGCAAACAGTATGATAATAACAAAATGAAAGCCGAATTGTTGATAGTTCCGGATTTCGACATACCAAATGTAATCGTTCTTTTATTGACTGAGTCGCT